AAGAAAGAAAGAAAGAAAGAAAGAGGGAGGGAGGGAGGGAGGGGGGAGAAAGAGGGAGAGGAGGAAGAGAGAAAAGAAAGAAGGGAAGAAAGAAAGAGGGAGGGAGGGAAGGGAAAGAAAGAAAGAAAGAAAAAAGGAGGGAAGAAGAAAACAAGGGAGGGAGAGATAAAAGAAAAAAGAAAGAAAAGAAAGAAAGAGGGAAGGGAGTGAAAGAAAGAAAGAAAGAAAGAAAGAAAGAAAGAAAGAAAGAAAGAAAGGGGAAGGAAGGAAGAAAAGATGAAGGAAGGGAAGCAAGGAAGGGAAAGAAAGGAGGAAGAGAGGGAAGGAAGGAAGGGGAGAGAAGGAAGGAGAGAAAGAAGGAAGTAAGGAGGGAGGGGAGTGAAAAAGGGAAGGAAGGCAGGCTAAATGGCTTTGATGACAACTCTTATAAAGGGTGTAGCTTACCATTATAAAACTGATTTGAATACTAACCATTCAAATTCAAAATTCAAACCCAATTCTGATAAACAATCAAACATTAAACAACAGCCTATTCAAGGAATCGCTGAGGACTCCCAATAACCCCCAACACTAACTGGATAAGCCAGTAGTATATAAACAGTGCAAACCCCACTCTCTTCTAGCACGGATGATGTTACCTAGTTTGGTAACGAAATGTCTGCAAGAAAACAACCAAGCTCAGAGAGCACCAAGGATGCCGCATATTGACTATTGGTGGCTTGGTTGCATTCAGTTCATTAGCAAAGTATTAATTTAAGAAGCTAAACCAGCATGGCATGCAGAAGGGGAGAGAGAAAATGTAGGAATAGCTACGGCATCCAGGCCATCTTTTAAAAACCAGTGCAAGGAATGAGCATGCTGTACACGGCCTCCATTCAGCCAAAAAGAGCGAGGAGCTTCTGCCCTCCTGTCCTCAAATTTGATTGATTTGTTTATATCAAAATGCTCCATTTTGGATGCTGCTCCCTACCTAGAATACACTTTTCCCTGTCACCAAACATCACCATCATCTCCCTGCTGTGTGTTGCTCCAGGCAAGGGAGAGGCTGTAGCCTGTGACTAATTTTAGTTGGTTCTGTTTGGTTTTGTTTGTTTTCTTGGGTCATTTCACTGAAGGGGTCTCTCTCTCTCTCTCTCTCCCTCCCTCCCTCCCTCCCTCCCTCTGTGTGTCTTTGTGTCTCTGTCACTTTCTTTCTCTCTCTGTCTCTCTCTCTCTCCCTCCCTCCCTCCCTCCCTCCCTCTGTGTNTTTCATGCCTAAGGAGGGACTAAAAGTCACTGGCTCCTAGTGATTGGCCCAAAGTCACCCAGCTGGCTTTCATGCCTAAGGCGGGACTAAAAGTCACTGGCTCCTAGTGATTGGCCCAAAGTCAGCCAGCTGGCTTTCATGCCTAAGGCGGGACTAGAACTCAATGTCTCCTGGTAATTGGCTCGAAGTCTTCCAGCTGGTTTTCATGCCTAAGGCGGGACTAAAAGTCACTGGCTCCTAGTGATTGGCCCAAAGTCTTCCAGCTGGTTTTCATGGCTTTTAATTTTGCTTAATGAGACTGTTTCTCATTTAAAGTCCCTTGAATTGGACATTCATAACAATGGATGTCCGCAGTGAAGAATCAGAAAAGTTGTGATAGTGATGGATGATTAAAGCCATGTTCCTTCTTTATCTATCTTGCAAAGGAAAGGGGCTTTGACCCCAAGGTTATGGCTGCCATTTTGACTTCCTTTTGAGCCCTCTGGCTGTCCCTGTTTAAAGGTAAAGGTTCCCCTCGCACATATGTGCTAGTTGTTTCCCAACTGTAGGGGGCGGTGCTCATCTCCGTTTCAAAGCCGAAGGGCCAGCGCTGTCCGAAGACGTCTCTGTGGTCATGTGGCCGGCATGACTAAACGCCAAAGGCGCACCGAACGCTGTTACCTCCCCACCAAAGGTGGTTCTTATTTTTCTACTCGCATTTTTACATGCTTTTGAACTGCTAAGTTGGCAGAAGCTGGGACAAGTAACGGGAGCTCACTCCGTTACGTGGCGCTAGGTATTTGAACTGGCGAACTGCCGACCTTTCTGATCGACAAGCTTAGTGTCTTAGTCACTGAGCCCCCGCGTCCCTGTTTATATCATTGCCAAAAATAATAATAATAATAATAATGTGAGAAGAGCATTTTAAGAACGAATGGGATGAGACTCTACTTAATGTCTCACCCTGAGGCACCCCAAACGGGGGAGTCGGGATTGTGGTCATCATGCAAGGCAATCACCTGGGCGCCTCTCTTAATGACCGCAATGAATTACGACCGCAATTCCAAGCTTAATTGGGGCTGTGAGTTGAGGACTGCCCATATAGCATTCCTCTCGATTCTCTTGAAGTCAGATTAATTCCTTACTTGGATTAATGGAGAATTTAGGGATTGCTTCAGGGGCCCCCATGCTGTAGCGAAGGCTACGAATAAAATCTTCGACTTCGGGATCCTTGGCTGTTATATTGGCTACAAACATATTTGCTGGTGCCTCTTCAGGAATCTTGAAAACATTCTCTTTCCTAGAACAGAAATTAGACAGGACAGTTTGATCAGCTGTCTCTTATCATCCTGACTAATACAACGAAGGGTTACAATGTAAAAGCAAAAATTAATTAATCTAGGGCTCAATAAGCTTGGCGATTTTCTGGCAGATGTTTCATTACCAAACTAGGTTACGTCATTGGTGCAGGAAGGAAGTGGGGTTTGCTCTTAAGATGCAATGATGATGTCACGCAGAATGCAGCCGCGCGAGCAATATTGGGTGTACCTAGATACACCCATGTTACACCCATCCTCTGCGAGCTGCACTGGCTCCCCATTGGTCTCCAGATGCGCTTCAAGGTGCTAGTCATTACTTTTAAAGCCCTACATGGTTTAGGACCTGGCTACCTGAGAGACCGCTTCCTGCCATTTACCTCTCAACGACCAATAAGATCGCACAGGTTGGGCCTCCTCCGGGCGCCGTCGACTGGACAATGCCGGCTGGCAAC